TATATATAGTTTGAATATTTAAGTAATTGAACAACCCATGATTCCAAATAATCTAATAAAATGAATGAACAAACCCATGATTCCAATAATGAATAAACAAATAAAACAAATAATTTGAATAAAGTGAATTAAATTTTTAATTTGAACCAACTTTTAAATTTGAATAAACTTTTTAATATTAATATTAATTTGAATAAACTTTTTAATTTGAATAAAACTTTTTAATTTGAATAAAATTTTTAATTTGAATGAATTTTTTTAATTTAGATAAATTTTTTAATTTGAATATATTTTTATTCGAATAATTAATTCGAATTAAAGGTCAACTCTATTATGAATAGAAGCCTTAATGTACTTAAAATACATGTCAAAACATACTTAAAACATACATTTATAAGAAAAATAAGTAGAAAATAAGTAGAAATAAGGTATTTAAACTTTGCATAGGGTGTAAGGAAATTAAAATATATATTTTATAGGTTTTTTTTACCAGGATAATAACATACATTGTGTAGAAATAACATACGCTGTGTAAGGAATTAAGGTATACATTTTTTACATTAAAACAATAACATAGGGCGCCTTCAAAAATTATTAGATTGAGATTGAGATTGATCAAATTTTAATATGAAATTTCAATCTAGGTCAGGTAGTAAGATTGAAAAAATAAACAAACAAAATAAATAAAATAAAAATAAAAATAAAAATAAAAAAAAAATTTTTTTTAAAAAAAAATGGAAAATATTGAAGTACCCAAAAAACAAAAACATCAATATTAAAATCATTAGCATTGGTATTTGTAAATTCGAGGTCCAATTCATTAATAAAAGAGAAAAGAGACATAAAAATTCCATTTTTAATTAATAATTGTCAATCATCTTGATAAAATAATTTTTGATCATGGATTGAAAATTTCAATTTCAATCCAATCTCAACCCAATCAAATATTCAATCTCAATCTCAATATAATAATTTTTGAAGGCACCCATACATTGTTTAAGGAATTAAAACTTACATTTTATGAGTTTTCATAACATGCATCATGTAAGGAATTAAAACTTACATTTTATGGTATTTTTCCTTACACCAAAATAATAACATACATCATGTAAGTGATTAAAACTACATTTTATTGGGTTTTCCTTTGCCAGAATAATAACATACATCATGTAAGGAATTTGATATACAGTACACTCTCTCTATAACGGCCCTTCTGTTTTGGCAAAAAATGACCGTTATAAGGAATTTGCAGATCTTAATCATGTGATAAAATATTTTTATTTGGGGTCTGTACTAGGAAAATCAAGCTTCCAGCTATTTTTTTTTTTTTTGTCTTTTTACTCAATAATAATCTCTAAT